GTTTTGTTGGGTTCCCAGCCATATTGGTGTGTCTTTAAATGAGCGTGCGGATGCTGCCGCTAAGGAAGCTGTCCGCTCTTGTCCCATCTCTCGTAAAGGCATTCCGTATTCCGACTTTTACCCAGTTATCCATTCCTCAGTTCTTACCCGTTGGCAGGCTTCTTGGTTGTCTGTTACTGGTAACAAGCTACGTACTCTTAAATGTTGTGTTTCCTCGTGGCCGTCCTCCTTCCACCGTAACCGGCGGTGGGAAACAGCTCTGGCGAGGTTGCGTATTGGCCATACTCGCTTAACCCATGGTCACTTGATGGAGCGCCGCCCTGCTCCTTATTGTCCTAGTTGCATTGTCCCTCTTACGGTCGTGCATGTCCTTCTTGAATGTCCTGACTTCCAGGACGAGCGTGTGTCTTGCTTTCCGACCGCCCCTCGCGGTCACCTGTCCCTCGATAGAATTCTTGGTGACTCGGATACTTTTGATATCGTTCGCCTTATGCGTTTTTGTTCTCGTATTCGCATCCTTGGTGATATTTAACGCCCTCTGATTATTTTGCGTATTTGATGGTGCTACATAGCCTTCCCGGTTTGGTGCCTTCTTTTGATAATTACTTACTTACTTTTGAATTACCACCAACAGTGTAAAGAAATGTACGAAAGATTGAGAAAATTCGCGTTAGAATTATTAATCTTACTTTTCGGTCATATTTAATAATATATGTCTACAGGAAAGACTGCTACAAAAATATACTAATATATATATATATATATATATATATATATATATATATATATATATATATATATATATATATATATATATATATATATATATATATATATATATATATTTATATATATATATATATATATATATATATATATATATATATTTATATATATATATATATTTATATATATATATATATTTATATATATATATATTTATATATATATATATTTATATATATATATATATATATATATATATATATATAAAATATATATTTATATATATATATATATATATATATATATATATATATATATATATATATATATATATATATATATATATATATATATATATATATATATATATTATATATATTGCTTTACCCTTAAAAGATGGTAATTTCGGAGTATTTATACACCCCAAAGATTACCACCTCCCAAGGGCAACTAGAGCAAGTGAGGGGTCACTTACGTTTTTCATCAAGTCCCTGTAAATATGAGAGAACTCTGTGTCTATGCTTGATGCACAACTTGCCTAAACACGCAAATGAAGTTATACAACTTTAGAGCACTTTCCCATCAGGAGACTCGAACCCTAGCCAGCACAGAAGCCTTCCAGCAACTGGCATAACAGGTACACCTTTACTCCACTGCACCACGCTCAGACCCTTAAAAGAGATGGTAATTTATGCCAGTTGCTGGAAGGCTTCTGTGCTGGCTAGGGTTCGAGTCTCCTGGTGGGAAAGTATTCTAAAGTTGTATAACTTCACTTGCGTGTTTAGGCAAGTTGTGCATCAAGCACAGACACAGAGTTCTCCCATATTAACAGGGAATTAATGAAAAACGTAAGTGACCCCTCACTTGCTCTAGTTGCCCTTGGGAGGTGGTAATCTTTGGGGTGTATAAATAATCCGAAATTACCATCTCTTTTCAGGGTCTGAGCGTGGTGCTGTGGGTTAAAGGCGTACCTGTTATGTCAGTTGCTTGAAGGCTTCTGTGCTGGCTATGGTTCGAGTCTGCTGGTGGGAAAGTGTTTTAAAGTTTTATAACTTACCTTGCGTGTTTAGGCAAGTTGTGCATCAAGCATAGACACAGAGTTCTCTCATATTTACAGGGACTTGATGAAAAACGTAAGTGACCCCTCACTTGCTCTAGTTGCCCTTGGGAGGTGGTAATCTTTGGGGTGTTTAAATACTCCGAAATTACCATCTCTTTTAAGGGTCTGAGCGTGGTGCAGTGGGTTAAAGGCGTACCTGTTATGCCAGTTGCTGGAAGGCTTCTGTGTTGGCTATGGTTCGAGTCCCCTGGTAGGAAAGTGTTCTATATATATATATATATATATATATATATATATATATATATATATATATATATATATATATATATATATATATATATATATATATATATATATAGCATCAGGAGAAATGAAGGGAACGTTGGTCGATCTTCAATGCTGTTAAATGTAGCCTTTACTTTTGAATGTGGCGTGTTGGGTGTTAGGCTGTCACCAAATTTTGCCCATGATGCTTCCTTTGTTGACAGTATTGTTGTTTGGCTGCTGCTGGGGCCAGCCGGAGATTGACCTAGTTCTGTAGGGAGGGTTGATGTCTTTGTTTTTGTATGGCTCGTTGGAGTAAAGCGACTGTTCGTGCACATTCTGCATTCCACCACAGTTTAAGCGGTTTGTTCGACCTATGTCCTGAAGTTTTCCTGGACATTTGGGTGGCTGCAGAATTTTTGACCGAGTGATTGTGGACCGTCGTGTGTTAGGGTCTACATCGTCTATATTTGGGAGATAGACAGTATCAGCCTATTTTTTTTACATAGTTTCTTAATGTTCCACTTGGGGAGTGTTAGGGGTGGGTTGGTGGCTGAAAGTTAGTAAATTTTAAAATGCGGGGGGTTTGTGGTCACTACTAATATCTGGTCCAGTATGAAACTGTAGTTCATGTTGAAAGTGCGCCGAGCCAAAACAAATGTGAAGTGAGGCTTAATTATTGGTTCTGTAGTTAAAGTAGGTTGCAAGGTAGGGCGGCGAAAGAAGAATATATGGTGTAGTGTCTAAGTAGTTACATAGATCGGTGCCTGCAGTATTTTGGCATGATCACCACCACAGTTTGAGCAGGTGAGTATATCTGATGCACAGTTTTGTGTGTAGTGGGAACCAGAGCATTTTCCACATTTAATGACTTTGTTGCAGCCTTTTGAGGTATGGTTAAAACCTTTACATCTAAAGCACTGAGTAGGACGTGGTATATTCACCTCTAGTTAATGGAAGAAGCCGTTTAATCAAATCTTATCAGGGGAATGTAGTCTAGAAAGGTAAGCAGGGCAGTGCCTGTATCACTCAGTTCTCCGTTTGTTCTTTCCATAAATCTTTTGACTTCAAAGATTAGAATGCCATCTGCCTGAAGTTGTGCCGTGATGTCGTCTGCACTAATGTCTACAACATGTCGGACTACATATTTCGATAATCGGTCCCCTAGTGGTTTGCAGCACTTGACTTTGTATCCACAGATGTCAGTAATGTCTGAAAGCTCTAATTCCTCGATGTGTTTGTGGTCCACTGTGATCAGGTTCATTTGTTTATTTGGTCTGATATAGTGCACGTTGATCCCGAATATCTTGGGGATGGCATTATATAATATACTTTGTGTCCTGCTATTTCTGAAAACACTCCCATCTTCGCTATCAAAGGCAATGATAAAAGTTTTCAAATCAGAAGAACTTGACCTACCTTGGTTGAGCGGTGGGTGTTGATACTGAGGCCGCGTGGTGTCTCTTGTTTACCTCTGTATGATGGCGGCGCTTCACCTCTAATCTGTTTGCCTTGCTGTGATATTTACTGTCCAGGAAATATCCTTCTGGATCCTCTTCTAAGACCACGTGACGTTCATGTTCTAAATGTGCGGCCTGCAACAGTGGATTCCCAACATCGTCATAGGTATCGTGAATGTTTGTAGGAGAGACGCTGTGTGCACCTCAAGCAGTCATCATGATGCGCAGTCCATTTAGCAAGTTTCTTCCTAAAATTTACTAAATTATTATATTTTAAATGCAAATTAAAGAACTGATCAATTCCAGTAACTGATTTAAGTTCTATTTAAATGTGGCATTTAAGTTTTTAAGTTTATTGCTGATACAAATGAAAGCTTTCTACAAGGCTACGTCTGAAGCCAACACTGTATGTGGCGGTGAACTGTGACTCCTGTCTCACTGTTGCTGGGCAGCAGCGCCTGTTGTGCTCGCTTACACCCAAACCTGTGGGGCTGCCAGCTGGCATTACAAAGAAAACGTTTTATGTTTTATTTTATACATTAAAAAATCTTATGATACATAAATTATGTATATTTAAAACCCATTAATTTGGTATGAACTCCTAACGTTAAATTTATTACCAACAATGGAGTATTTGTGGACGATCGTATGCTGTGTGTGCAGAAACTCCATCATGCAAGTTAATTCTATCTTCTTTAACGTAATTACATGGCTTAAATAAACCAAATGCACTGTCTAGTGTTGGTCGTATATAATCTGCATTATAAAAGCAGGTAATAAATGTGTACTAATGATGTCCTAAACGTGGTCGGGAAACTATCTTAAAACAGAAGTTACAATATCTATTGCTGATTCAAGATTTAACGAATTGCTTTCTGGAATGACCTCGAAGGCTGGCTGATGCAATAACCTCGTGTTGGCTACATCAGTGGCCAATGGATGATTTCACTTTTAACCTTTAATTATTTTAATTTATTTTACATGAGAGTGGAATTTATTTATCCTACACTTGGTGATGGAGCAATACCAATTATGAGTCCTAGAATAGGTTAGGAACCCATGCTAAGTAATCAATCACGGCAAGTTAAGAAAACATTCTCAAGTGACTATTTTCTCGTACAATACCTGATATGAGAGCTCATCTGTCCCTGCGAGAGACTCAAATTGCCTTGTACAGTTCCTGTAATAAGAACTCTGGGTGAGAGGGGGCACACTGTTCTTCCAGTAAATGTACTGGTCAATTATAGTGTTCTCAGTGTTTAATGTTTAAGGGTAGATATTTCACTTAGTCATGCTTGTAATTTCTTTCAGTTAAGATATTCCTAGTTATTCCACACGGGAATCCATCCAAGTTTTCCCTGAGGCCCGTGTTTGTACTATAGCCTCAATAAAGTTTTCAGTGTTTATTGTGAATTATTAGATTCAAATTTTCCAATAAGGTTGTATGTTATGCTTTGAAGGGGATTCTAACATGTTTTCTTTCTTGGCAGCATTTGCCTGCCTATGGAGGCGATGGATGGAGGCGACCAGGCCTACTTACTGATCCTGCTCATAACGAACGGCCTTGCCTTCATCCTCATCTGCGTCTGCTATGCCAAGATGTATTGTTCCATCGCTGGCAACAACCTGGCAGCCAACACCTCGGACACCACAGTGGCCAAGCGCATGGCCCTCTTGGTCTTCACAGACTTTGCCTGCTGGGCCCCAATAGCCTTCTTCGGGCTGACGGCGGTGTCGGGTTACCCACTTATTAGTGTAACTCACGCAAAGTTCTTGCTGGTTTTCTTTTATCCTCTCAATTCCTGTGCGAACCCCTATCTGTACGCTATTCTCACTAAGCAGTACCGCCGAGACCTCTTCATCCTGCTGGCTCGTCATGGCTTCTGCACAAAGCGAGCTATGAAGTACAAGGGCGGCTACTCCACTAACACCTTGCTCAACCTCCACAACGTGTGTGTGAGTGGTGGGACGGGAGGGGGCAGCGGAGGCCCAAGTCGACGCATCTCCACACTCACTCAGATCACAACCTGTGGCGATTGGCGGAGCCGCGTGAGGGATGGTTCAGAGGAGAGTCTGGGCCGCCAGTGCTCGCCCAGCCGACCTAGGAGCATCTCAGCGGAATTAACAGTCTCAGCTCCTATGACGATTGGCTTAACTGACCGTCGACTCTCCGACGTTGGTCGACGTCTGCAGCCCGTAGCAGAGGCCAGGGATGGGCGAGCGCCCAATAAACTCTGCAGCCTGGCACCTAACTCCGGCTCGCCTCATCCAATTAAAAACTGCTACGCCCGTATGAGCTTCACGCCTGAGCAAGAGGCTCTGCTTCTGAGCTACGCATCAGACAAACAAACTAATAACTCCTGGCAGAACACCGGTCGTGCTGACGGAGGCGAGGCCCTCCCCATGTCCAGCTACACGCCCACCACTCCTGACACCATCTCCACGCCCATATCACCTCAGCTTGACCACTCCGTATAAAGGTCACTCTTGCTCTGAACTGGTGACCATTTGAAGCGTCTGGTGATATGCCTTCCACCGCTCCTATTGACAGTTGCAGCCCTTCCACCGCTCCTATTGACAGTTGCAGCTGATTGATTGATGAAGATTAAGCCACCCAAGAGGTGGCACGGGCATGAATAGCCCGTAAGTGGTGGCCCTTTTGAGCCATTACCAGTATCAAGAGCTGATACTGGAGATCTGTGGAGGCGCGACTGCACCCTGCGTGACGGGAGATGTCTCCCGGACCAAGTGGTGACCAGATGGTGAGTTGCAGCTCTTCCACCGCTCCTATTGACTGTTGTAGTCCTTCCACCGCTCCTATTGACAGCTGTAGCCCTTCCACCACTCCTGTTGACAGTTGTAGCCCTTCCACCACTCCTATTGACAGTTGTAGCTCTTCCACCGCTCCTATTGACAGTTGTAGCCCTTCCACCGCTCCTATTGACAGTTGCAGCCCTTCCACCGTTCCTATTGACAGTTGCAGCCCTTCCACCGCTCCTATTGACAGTTGTAGCCCTTCCACCGCTCCTATTGACAGTTGTAGCCATTCCACGGCTCCTATTGACAGTTAGTTGTTGGGCTTCCATGGCTACTATTGACAGTTAGGTGTAGGGCTTCCACACCTCCTATTGACAGTTAGTTGTAGCCCTTCTACGGCTCCTATTGACAGTTAGGTGTAGGGCTTCCACACCACTTATTGACAATTAGTTGTAGTGCTTCCACAGCTCCTATTGACAGTTGTAGGGCTTCTGTGGCTACTATTGACTGTTGTAGGGAAAAGAAATTTATTTATCCTGAGTTTTTGCTCCTTGTATTTAATATAAATGAAAGGACAAGACTGTTTAGTTGTGTTTATATTGCTGATACAAGAATGTTGCTTGAGAAAGTAATGAGGAACACCTTTAAACGACAGTATGGATTGTAATTCATTAGTACATATGATATTTATAAGACATTAACATAGAATTAGATGTGGTGTTGAATGTTGACATGATGTAACGTAGCATATGAAATGTACATCATTGTAAGGTACAAACATAGCTACGACATGTGTGTTAGTTCTTACATTGTGCAGAAATGTTCAGAAATGCCAAATAATGGGTTATAAATTTTAAGAATTTAAAAAAAAACGTAAGACATTTGGTTTTGTTCACTGATTAATTTCTTATCTGACAGCAGTGTCATACTATAGGTAAGAGTTACAGGTGTTCATAAGAACACATGTACTCAGTAGCGGGAGTACTAAGCAGTACTGTAACTATTTACAAATGTACTCAACTGTAACAGTGCCAAACATTTCCCAGTAATTTATTATTAAAACCGAATTTAATAAAATAAAAACTGAGTGTTTACCTCGTGTAATTAAGCAGAGAACAATATTTTTATACAGACAGTTTACAATGACACTCGACACCAGCCCTTTTCTTCTACTGTCCTGAGCCTCATGTTCACTCCATTCCTCGTCTGGTTTATTTCTTCCGTCTTCCTCCATCTTCTTCCCATCTTGCTTTATCTATATAATCTCCTCGATGACTTTGTTTTGCTTCCTCCTCTCCTGTCTGTAGAATTGTCTCCTCCCACCAGTTTCTCCCTGTCTCCACCCTCCACTTTCTCCCTGTCTCCACCTGCCTCTTCAAAATATCCAGGAGAGCTCTTCCTCCAAGCAGCCTCGTGCTTAACCTCATATTTAGCCCTCACATTCATCTCTCGCCCAAACCCGCCATGACACATTACTCTCTCGGCCACACCCGCCATGACACATTACTCTCTCGGCCACACCCACCATGACACATTACTCTCTCGGCCACACCCGCCATGACACATTACTATCTCGGCCACACCCACCATGACACATTACTCTCTCGGCCACACCCGCCATGACACATTACTCTCTCGGCCACACCCGCCATGACACATTCATCTCTCGGCTACACCCGCCATGACACATTACTCTCTCGGCCACACCCGCCATGACACATTACTCTCTCGGCCACACCCGCCATGACACATTACTCTCTCGGCCACACCCGCCATGACACATTACTCTCTCGGCCACACCCGCCATGACACATTACTCTCTCGGCCACACCCGCCATGACACATTCATCTCTCGGCTACACCCGCCATGACACATTACTCTCTCGGCCACACCCGCCATGACACATTACTCTCTCGGCCACACCCGTCATGACACATTACTCTCTCGGCCACACCCACCATGACACATTACTCTCTCGGCCACACCCGCCATGACACATTACTCTCTCGGCCACACCCACCATGACACATGCAGCTCTCGGCCACACCCGCCATGACACATTACTCTCTCGGCCACACCCGCCATGACACATTACTCTCTCGGCCACACCCGCCATGACACTTTACTCTCTCGGCCACACCCACCATGACACATTACTCTCTCGGCCACACCCGCCATGGCACATTACTCTCTCGGCCACACCCGCCATGACACATTACTCTCTCGGCCACACCCACCATGACACATTACTCTCTCGGCCACACCCGCCATGACACATTACTCTCTCGGCCACACCCACCATAACACATGTAGCTCTTGGCCACACCCGCCATGACACATTACTCTCTCGGCCACACCCGCCATGACACATTACTCTCTCGGCCACACCCGCCATGACACTTTACTCTCTCGGCCACACCCACCATGACACATTACTCTCTCGGCCACACCCGCCATGACACATTACTTTCTCGGCCACACCCGCCATGACACTTTACTCTCTCGGCCACACCCGTCATGACACATTACTCTCTCGGCCACACCCACCATGACACATTACTCTCTCGGCCACACCCGCCATGACACATTACTCTCTCGGCCACACCCGCCATGACACATTACTCTCTCCGCCACACCCGCCATGACACATTACTCTCTCGGCCACACCCGCCATGACACATTACTCTCTCGGCCACACCCGCCATGACACATTACTCTCTCCGCCACACCCACCATGACACATTACTCTCGGCCACACCCGCCATGACACATTACTCTCTCGGCCACACCCACCATGACACATGCAGCTCTCGGCCACACCCGCCATGACACATGCAGCTCTCGGCTACACCCATCATGACACATGTGTCTCTCGGCCACACCCACCATGACACATGCAGCTCTCGGACACACCCACAATGACACATGCAGCTCTCGGCCTCACCGATCATGACAGAGGTCCTATTTGTCTTAAAATCCCCCCCCCCCCTCCCTACACGCTCCATTGCAGTGTATATCCTCCTAAACACGTCGCTCCCCCCTTGGTACCTTATTGATAACCTCTCCTGCCTGTTGGACTCTCATCAACACGTCACTCCCACCTTGGTACCTTATTGATAACCTCTCCTGCCTCTTGGACTCTCATCAACACGTCACTCCCACCTTGGTACCTTATTGATAACCTCTCCTGCCTCTTGGACTTAATGCCTCACCTTTCTTCTGGAAAGCTGGCCGCCTTCTCACGAGCGGGTACACTAATTACACTTATATAGTCTGACCATACAATTTCTGACCATTACTGACCACACCATTAGTGACGACACCATTACTGACCACACCATTACTGACAATACCATTACTGACCACACCACTACTGACAATACCATTACTGACCACACCACTACTGACGAAACCACTGTTGACCAAACCATTACTGACCACACCATTACTGACCACACCATTACTGACCACACCACTACTGACCACACCAATGCCGACCACACCATTATTGACCACACCATTACTGACCACACCACTGTTGACCACACCATTACTGACAATACCATTACTGACCACGCCACTACTGACCACACCACTACTGACCACACCACTGTTGACCAAACCATTACTGACCACACCACTACTGACCACACCACTGTTGACCACACCACTACTGACAATACCATTACTGACCACACCATTACTGACCACACCACTGTTGACCAAACCATTACTGACAACACCACTACTGACCACACCAATGCTGACCACACCACTATTGACCACACAATTACTAACAATACCATTACTGACCACACCATTGCTGACCACACCATTAGTGACCACACTAATACTGACCATTACTGACCACACCATTACTGACCACACCATTACTCCCCACTACTGACCACACCATTGTTGGCCATTACTGACCACACTATTACTGACCATTACAGACCACACCATTACAGAGCATTACTGATCACACTGGTACTGACCACACCATTATTGACCACACCATTACTGACCATTATTGACCACACCATTACTGACCATTATTGACCACACCATTACTGACCACACCATTAATGACCACACCATTACTGACCATACCATTATTGACCACACTAATACTGACCACACCATTAATGACCACACCATTACTGACTATACCATTATTGACCACACCATTACTGACCACACCATTAATGACCACACCATTGCTGACAACACCATTAGTGACGATTACTAATCACCCTATTACTGACCACACCATTACTGATCACATCATTACAGACCATTACTGATCGCACTATTACTGACCACACCATTACAGACCACACCATTAATGACCACACCACTACTGACCACACCATTACTGAACACACCATTGTAACCACACCATTACTGACCACACCACTACTGACCACACCACTACTGACCACACCACTACTGACCACACCATTACTGACCACACCACTACTAACTACACCATTACTGACCACACCACTACTGACCACACCATTACTGACCACACCACTACTGACCACACCATTACTGACCACACCATTACTGACCACACCATTACTGACCACACCACTACTGACCACACCACTACTGACCATACTATTACTGACCACACCATTACTGACCAAACCAGAAACTAGACGCCTCCGCTGTGAGATAACTAGTGGGAAAATGCAAGTAATGTTATCTAACAAGTGAACAAAACAAATTAAGAGTGCGACACGTGGTAGCAACACTGGCCGTCCATACTGCCCCTCCGGGCCTGTCTCAAGTTGGTAAACACCCACGGTCAACACCCACGGCCAGCACCCGCGGTCAACCCCCCCACCGGTCAACACCCCACCTTGTAAGACCTGGTAAGACCATCACCACTGAACAGAAGTGTTCAAAAAATGGCTTTGATAAAAACGTGCATAGAATGCAACATGAAGGTAGATTACCAACAGAGCTTTCAGTGCCAACTCTGTTCAGCAGCCATACACAAAAAATGTGCCAACATGACTAACAATTCAAGGAGAAATGGTCCCAGTGACCACTCTGTGTACTGGCTCTGCAAAAAGGATGATGTAACTTTTTTGAAGTTGATGGAAATCCTGGATAAAACTCCCGCCGAAAACAGAGAATTACTAATTATTGCCTGCATAGCAATTTCTAATGTCTTCAAACAAACTGTACATGACACCAAGGTACAACCAGCTGTGGCACAGAACTCGGTGGCAGCGGCGCCTGAGCAGGACACGGAGTCGGGGCTGCCTGAGCAGGGCGCGGAGTCGGGGATGCCTGAGCAAGGCGCGAAGTAGGGGACGCCTGAGCGGAGCGCGGAGTCGAGGACGCCTGAGCAGGGCGCGGAGCCGAGGACGCCTGAGCACGGCGTGGAGTCGGGGACGTCTGAGCGGAGCGCGGTGTCACAGGCCCCGGAGCAGAGCGCGGTGTCACTGGCACCGGAGCAGAGCACAGTGTCGGGGACGCCACAGTCGAGTGCGGTCCCTGGCAAAGGGAAACAAACAAAACAAGGCCCCAAAATCTGTTGGTATTACAAATGGGCTACCTGTAAGCATGGGGAATCGGGAAGAACAAATGGAACACGTAAATACGATCACCCTATAAAGTGCAGAAATCTCCTCAATACAGGTAAATGTACCAAAAGCTGTGAATTCTTTCACCCAGAAATTTGCAAGAACTCTTTGGACAGGAAAGAGTGCTTCAATGCTGAATGTCCAGCTTTTCATATAAGAGGTACCAGGCGAATAAAACCGACAGACTACCACTATGAAAACAGCCACTACTCCATCGACCGGGATAATTTTTTAGCAAGAGGAGGAGAAGAATGGCTAAAAATGACCAGACTCTACCACCAACTCGGTCCAAAGCTAGAGAGGACGCAAACACAGTGGCCTCCTTACCAGAACCTCAGATAATAACACCAAGTAAAGCATCCAGCACTTCCACTAACACGATAACATCATTTATATTTGCCAACATCCAGGGTATAAAAACACGCAAATCCAACAAACTTCACTTTATAGATGGTCTCCTTCATGAGGCAAATGCAGTGTTTGCAGCCCTAACGGAAACTCACACAAAGGACTACCTTGATGGTGAAATATGGATCTCAGAGTACAATCTCTTCAGATGTGATAGGAAACACCGGCTTCAGGGTGGGGTCAGCCTCTACATCAAAGACACACTCATCTGTACTAAGCTGCTAAACACCTCAAATGATATGGTGGAAGTGCTGATAGTCAAAATAGATATCCTAAATATAGTTGTTGTCCTTGTATATAAGTCACCGGAGGCAAACCCTCAGCAGTTTAAGGACCAACTAATGAAAATAGAACACTGCTTGGAAAACCTTACAAATCCAGCTTCGAACATCATCCTGCTTGGGGACTTCAACCTACGGCACCTGAAATGAAAGCACCTGGCTAATACAGTAATATCAGAAAGAATACCAGGAAGTAGCCTAAATGAACAGGCACATGCAAATGACCTGCTACGGATGTGCGATAGGTTTGCCTTAAACCAGCAAATAGTAGAACTAACTAGGAAGGAGAACACGCTGGACCTCATTTTCACTAATAATGATGAGTTGATCGGGAACATAATGATTACAAAAACCTGTTACTCAGATCACAATTTAATTGAAGTTCTGACAACCATGGGGAATGGACCTTCAAAACCAGTCCAGATTCCCGGTGGAGGAGATTTCAGCAAATTCAACTTCAATAATAAACAGATAAACTGGGAGCAAATAAACCAGGATTTCAAAGAAATAAACTGGGAAGAACAGCTAGAAAATGCAAACCTGAACCAGTGCCTGGAAAAAATAAGCTCAGTAGCACTAGAAATATGTTCAAACCGCATACCCCTAAGAAAAAAGAGAAAGAGATGCAGATTGGAACGGGAACGTCGTTCCCTATATAGGCGAAGAAAACAAATCGCGGAACAACTTGAGAGTCGCACCCTATCTCAAGAACGGCGAAGAAGGTTAGGTAGAGAAATAGAAACAATTGAACTCAAGCTACAAGAATCATAGAAAACCCAGGAGAGGCAAAGAGAGGAAAAGGCCATCAGTGAAATAGAGAGAAGTCCGAAATATTTGTTCTCCTATGCAAAATCAAGATCAAAAACCACATCTAGTATCGGGCCCCTGCGAAAGGGAGATGGAACTTTCACCGATGACAACAAAGAAATGAGCGAGTTACTGAGGAAGCAGTACGACTCTGTTTTCAGCGAGCCATTAAATGCACTAAAGATTGATAACCCAAATGAATTTTTCATGGATATGATACCAACATCAAATCATATATCAGACGTCGCCCTATCCCCACTAGATTTTGAAGAAGCCATAAACAGTATGCCTATGCACTCTGCATCAGGCCCGGATTCTTGGAACTCCATATTCATCAAGAACTCTAAAAAAAACACTATCGCAGGCCCTTCACATTTTGTGGAGACAAAGCCTAGATACTGGCGTTATCCCTTACATACTAAAAACAGCAGAGATAGCACCACTCCATAAAGGAGGAAATAAGGCAGAGGCAAAAAATTACAGACCGATAACACTAACATCGCACATCATAAAAATTTTTTGAGAGAGTGCTAAGAAGTAAGATCACAAAATACATGGAATCACAGCATCTCCATAACCCCGGACAACATGGTTTCAGAACAGGGCGCTCTTGCCTGTCGCAGTTGCTGGACCACTATGATATTGCATTAGATGCTATGGAAGACAAACAAAACGCTGATGTAATTTACACAGATTTCGCAAAAGCTTTTGATAAATGTGACCATGGTGTTATTGCACATAAAATGCATTCAAAAGGAATTACCGGGAAAAAAAGGCAGATGGATCTACAATTTACTGACTAACAGAACCCAATGTGTAACAAAAATAAAATCAACAAAATGTTGACAAAAAGTCAACAAAATAAAATCCAGCCCATCAACCGTGAAGAGCTCAGTCCCCCAGGGTACTGTGCTTGCTCCAGTACTCTTTCTAATCCTCAAATCGGACATAGACAAGAACACAACCTATAGCACTGTGTCATCCTTTGCAGATGACTCTAGGATTTTCATGAGAGTTGGCAACATAGAGGACACGGCAAACCTCCAATCAGATGTAGATCAGGTCTTTCTATGGGCTACAGAAAATAATATGGTGTTTAATGAGGATAAGTTCCAGCTCATGCGCTACGGAAAAATTGAAAATATAAAAACAGAAACCACATACAAAACTCAGGCAAATCATAACATAGAACGAAAAGGCAATGTAAAGGATCTGGGTGTACTCATGTCGGAAGACCTTACCTTTAAAGAACACAATAAAGTAGCCGTCACAACTGCAAGAAAAGTGACAGGTTGGATAACAAGAACTTTTCACACTAGAGATGCTATACCGATGATGATACTTTTCAAAACGCTTGTGTTCTCTAGAGTGGAGTACTGCTGCACAATGACAGGCCCCTTTCAAAGCAGGAGAAATTGCTGACCTGGAGAGCGAGCAGAGATCCTTTACTGCTAGAATCCACTCAGTAAAACATCTAAATTACTGGGACCGACTAAAGAGCCTAAATCTGTACTCCCTTGAGCGCAGGCGGGAGAGATACATAATAATTTACACGTAGAAAATAATTGAGGGGCTGGTCCCAAACCTGCACACAGAAATAACATCACATGAGACCAGGAGGCATGGCAGGATGTGCAGAATACCCCCGTTGAAAAGCAGAGGTGCAACAGGTACTCTGAGAGAGAACTCTATCAACATCAGAGGCCCGAGACTGTTCAACACGCTTCCACTACACATAAGGGGCATAATTGGCCGACCCCTCACAGTGTTCAGGAGAGAACTGGATAAGCACCTCCAAAGGATACCTGATCAACCAGGCTGTGACTCATACGTCAGGCTGCGAGCAGCCGCGTCTAACAGCCTGGTTGATCAGTCCAGCAACCAGGAGGCCTGGTCGACGACCGGGCCGCGGGGACACTAAGCCCCGTAAGCACCTCAAGGTAACC